AACGGTAGAACAGAAAGGGGAAAATGAAGGATGGAAAAAAACAAACACAAAACAACGACCCATAAATATCTCAAAATATTGTCCAGCCATATGGGTGCGAGACCAGGTGCATAGTTACGGCAACTGTGGGCCCTACAGGTTACTCCACTGACTACAAAAGCCATTTAAAAGAAAGAGCGGGTGCTTGGGTGGCTTAGTCGGTTAAGCGTCCGACTTACGCTTAGGTCATGATCTCGCAGTTCGTGGGTTCGAGCCCCGCGTCGGGTTCTGTGCTGACTGCCAGCTCAGAGCCTGGAGACTGTTTCAGTCTGTGACTCCCTCTCTCTCTGACCCTCCCCTGTTCACGCTGTCTCCCTCTCTCTCTCTCTCTCTCTCTCCTAGAAATAAATTTTAAAAAAATATTAAAAGAAAGAACAGTTGTGCGTATCCTTCTCATAGCTCCAGTGTAGAAAGGAAAGGCACATTTAGTAACAGGTTTCTTTTTTTGTTTGTTTGGCTTTGTTTTGGGTTTTTTGGTCTAAAATTCTCTTATAACCAACTGATTTCTCTAAAAATTGTTTGGATATTAAGATGACCACCAGCTCAAAAAGCATTAAAGATACTTCAATAGAAGGACATAGACTAGCTTTTAAGGCACTTGACTCACATAAATTTATACTTTGAATCAAATTTAATGGGCTTCCTTTTCTTGTAAGGAGGATGAGCATTATTAGTTTCACATTTTAATATATTTTAGGGGTAAGATGAACTTGGATAATAAAAGCATCTTTCTCCCATCCCACCTAATGCAGAAGAAACTTTCTGGAAGGAACTCATTTGGAATGAAAGGGGAGTGAGTGATTGTTCTGCAAATAAGGATGGGCAGGGTGGGGGGTTTCTTTATGATTTACGATGTGGGTGTCATGAATATTGGCAACTATGAAGTCATGAGAGAGGGTGAAATTATGAGGCAGACTGATTTATTGGATACTCTACAAAGACAACAAAGGCTTGAAACTAGCCTTTAGAAGGGATTCTTTATCTTTTCTCAAGTAGTAGGAAAGAGGAACGTTATGGATATAGTCCATCTGGAAGTATTTGGAAGGCCGTCACTAAATCCCTGAAGAGACTTAAATTTCCAGCTCTTGTTCCCATCCACTCCCTTTTGCATCCTGTGCTGCCACTTATGTTCCAGAAGAAACCTATGCCACTGTCCTCAAGAGAGAAAAGAAAATATAAGTAGGAATAATATTTTATGGTGATTGTAGTGCTCAGAATTCCTTAGACTCCTATCTGCTGTGATTTTGCTGTGACCTTTACAGAGCTTATATTTTAGCCCCAGTCAGATCGCTGCTGTAATTTGAATATGTCCCATGCTCTAGAGAAATGTTCCAGATTTAAGCAGGACTGCCTAACTTTAAACTGTTGGTCATAGCCTGTAAGAAAACATTTAAAACAGTATTAATCTTAGGGACACCTGGGTGGCCCAGTCAGTTAAGCATCTGACTCTTGATTTTGGCTTAGGTTGTGAGATCAAGCCCCACATGGGGCTCCACACTGAGGATGGAGCCTGTCCTCTTTATTTCTCTCTCTCTCTCTCTCTCTCTCTCTCTGCTCTTCTCCCACTCGCATGTGCTCTCTCTCTCTAAATAAATAAATAAACTTAAAAAAACAGTATTAATGTTTACTCTTTGTGCCTTTTTTTCTTAAATTTTTTAAATTTTTATTTTTGAGAGACAGACACAGACGGACAGAATGTGAGTGGGGGAGGAGCAGAAAGAGAAGGAGACACTGAATCTGAAGCAGGCTCCAGGCTCTGAGCTGTCAGTACAGAGCCCAACATGGGGCTCCAACTCAAGGACCACAATTTGATAACTTCAGTTCAAGTCAGACACTTTACCGACTGAGCCACCCAGGGACTCCTTTTTGTGCCTGTTGAATACTATTACAATTTTTTTAACATTTTGAAACCAAATCATATAAAACGGGTACTCTCAAAGTGAACATTCATGTGGTATTTTGTTGCAGGAAAGGGTAATTGTGAGATTGATGTTATGCTAAGGTCAGCTAACTTCAAGTTATCACAGTTAAATCATGCTTTCTAAAATACTTCTTAACACTATTTCTTTTGTAAGCCAATAAAAACAGCATGAATCAACTTATGCACTTTTTCTCACCCCAACCTCAAGTCATAGGTCCAGGCCCAGAAAATTTTAGCCATGTATATAATTCCAAAGGTTTAAATGTCCCACCTTCTTCTATTGCTTCTATCTGTTGAACAGAGCCTCACTTTTCCTATTACACCAAGACAAATTACAAAAGGAAAATAATTTTGGTGGTCACTAAGCCACTGTCAAGTCTCACGTAGCATCTGCTCTGATAGTACCTTCTCTACCAGACTTCACTACCTGTTCAAGAACTAAACTTAAGAAGATATAAAGCAGAACCCATATCTGTTTTTCTGAAAAGATTTTTTAATCTCTACACCCAATGTGGGGCTCGAACTTACAACCCCAAGATCAAAAGTTGCATACTCTACTGGCTGAACTAGCCAGGCACCCAAGAACCCGAATCTATTTTAAAAGACTTTATAATAAATTCTGATCTCAAATAGAAATGTTCTGTTTTTCATTATCCACAAAAGTTCTTCAGTAATTGAAACAGGTACATACTTGTATAAGGAGAAGAATGATTTCTTGACATGACTAAGTAATTAAACCACAATATGAAGTCATACTTTCTGGTGTAAGATTACTAGCATACCTGTAAAAACCACAGATAGTTACCTGTCATATTAACCAGAAACTTCAAGAATACCTTTTAAAAATGTTCAAATCTTCCTGTGTATTAGTTAGGTACTAAATAGAAAACACTATCTGCTGTTTGTGCTCAGGAAAATCGCCTGGTACACAAACTTAAATATATCCCTGATGAAAATGTCACAAAATAAGATTGCAGGTGAAGAGGTTACGATAACAAATTTTAAGATATTTTTATTAGCAACATGAGAGAACACACCTGATTATTTTCTTCAGCATTTGGGATTAAGTTTCATAGCCTGTTAATAAGTATCTCAAATCCTATCACAGTTACCGTTTGACAATGAAAATCTCACTTCACTGATAATTACACATGCAAAGAAACTAATTTTTAAATATTTCATTTTGTTAAGTGACATTTATAATGTTAAGAAAAGGAAGCGGCTCAGTTGGTTAAGTGTCCGACTCTTGATTTCCGCACAAGTCATGGTCTTGCATTTCATAAGTTCAAGTCCTACATCAGGCTCCACACTCATAGTGCAGAGCCTGCTTGAATTGTCTTTCTCTCTCTCTCTCTCTCTGCCCCTTCCCTGCGTGCTCTCAATCTCTCTCTCACACACAATAAATAAATAAACATTTAAAAAAAGAAATGGAAATGTCCTGTAGGGAGTGGTTTGGCACATGGCCCAGACACCTGCTTCAGGATCAAGGCACTCAATCCCCCAGCTGCTGGGCATAACAGTTGGTGATGGCTCACAGCTGAGCCTATTTTTGCATCTTGCGCTCTGCCAAAGCCTTGCCCAAGAGTTTGCCTCCTCTCCAGGTGCATCCCATGTTTAATGGCTGATCAGTAACAAAGTACAAGAGCCTGCCCCCTTGTTCAATTTAGAATGAATCTGAAAGGAAATCCCAGCTTCAGAGCACCCTATGGGATTATTTGAGGCTGCTATTGCAAACTGTTCACATGAAAACTTCACGCTCTACCTCCATCGTCGCTGCGTTACAGATGTTTCTCCAAGAGTACACAATCCTTCTGCACACAAATCTCCAACACACCTTTCACAGTTAGTATTGAAAGGAGTCCTAGTGGGGCACCTGGGTGGCTCAGCCGGTTAAGCGTCCGACTTCAGCTCAAGTCGTGATCTCATGATGCATGGGTTTGAGCCCCGCGTGGGGCTCTGTGCTGACAGCTCAGAGCCTGCAGCCTGCTTCAGATTCTGTGTCTCCCTCTCTCTGACCCTCCTCCTGCTCTCTCTCTCTCTCTCACAAAAATAAATTTTAAAAAAGATAGTCCTAGAAATGAGACTCTAAAATAGGATTTGGGGGGCTCCTGGGAGGCTCAGTTGGATAGGCATCAGACTCTTGATCTCAGCTCAGGTCTTGATCTATGGATGTGGAGTTCAGGCCCCATGGTTGGATCCCCCGCTGAGCGTGAAACCCACTTAAAAAAAAAACAATAACAATAAAAAAAATAAAATAGGGTTTTGGAGCTGGATTCTATACAGCCAACTGGCAATGAGAACCCCATCCTTGGTGAGCGGAGTACTGATAGCAATCGCCATGCTGTGGAACTATGATTACCTATTTGAATACAGTTATACTAAACCTGGTTACCTGTAATTTTTAAATAGGTAAATAAAACATAGGGCTTTTCTGCGTTTACTGTGAATTTTTCTCTCGCTATAGCTTGGACAAGACTGCCACCTCCTGGAGAAGCTTATGCATACTGATGACTGAGGTGCTCCCATCCACTTGGGAGAATCACTCCTAAAATTGTTTGCGTACCAACGCCAACTCCCTATCTCTCCATTAGTTAAGCCAATTTCTCACCTATCACAACTGTGAACAAGTTTTTGCAAAGAGGCAAAACTTCAAAGGAATCTGCGCATCACAATTTTCTTTATGTGAAAATTTAAACAAATTCTAACATTTGCAGAGCGCTTAGTAGGTGCCTGGCTTTGATTCTTAGACCTCATAACAGCCCTACGAAGTAGGAACTATTATCACAGACACACCTGTGGTACGAACGAGGCAATTAAGTATGAGCGAGGTTAGACTGCAGGCTAAGCATAACCCCCATCGACGTCGTCAGAACTCCACCGACAGCTGAGAACTCAAGCTCCGTAGCTAAGTGACCGCCTCCCCCTACTCGGGCATGCGCAAACAAAACCACGGAAGCAATTTCCGTAGACACTGTGGGAGGCGGGGGCCGAGGGGTGTGGCAAGGGCTCTAAGATCCCAGCATTCTCAGCGTACCGGCGCCAAGATGGCGGCCCCCATGTTGCGGTGCTGTTCCCGGGGCCGGTGTTTGGGAAGCCTAGGCCCGTCAGGAGTTTTGTTTCTGGGACTGCGTGAGGCCCATTCGGGCGCTCAGGGGTTGCTGGCGGCGCAGAAGGCTCGAGGTCTGTTCAAGGAGTTCTTCCCCGACAGGGGTACGAAGATAGAGCTCCCCGAGCTCTTCGACCGTGGAAAGGGCAACTTTCCCCAGACCATCTACTGCGGTTTCGACCCCACGGCCAGCTCGCTTCACGTGGGGCATCTGCTAGCCCTTCTGGGCCTGTTTCACTTCCAGCGAGCTGGCCACAACGTGATTGCGCTGGTGGGAGGTGCCACCGCGCGCCTGGGAGATCCGAGCGGCCGCACCAAGGAGCGCGAGGCCCTGGACGCGGAACGCGTGCGAAGCAATGCGCGCGCCCTGCGCCGAGCGCTTGAGGACCTGGGGGCTAATCACCAGGAGCTCTTCGCGGATGGGCGGCCCTGGGGAAGCTTCACGGTACTGGACAATTCAACCTGGTACCAGAAGCGGCACCTGGTGGACTTCCTAGCCGCCGTTGGCGGCCACTTCCGCATGGGGACGCTCCTGAGCCGGCTGAGCGTCCAGACCCGGCTCAAGAGTCCCGAGGGCATGAGCTTGGCCGAGTTTTTTTACCAGGTGCTCCAGGCCTATGACTTTTACTATCTGTTCCAGCATTATGGATGCCGGGTCCAGCTCGGTGGATCTGATCAATTGGGCAATATCATGTCCGGATACGAGTTTATCCACAAGTAAGCCAACGCCTTTAGACCTAGGAGAAATCGTGTGACCAGATAATTCACACACGGATGTCCTGCGATCCACTATTGGGATTGGGTGGTGACGCCCTTCTCAAGTCTTTGTTGGTTTTCTCCCCGCTTAAGAGCGTGAAATGGTGTGGAAGTGACGGGCTAATAATGAGAACCGTAAGGCTTGTTTAATGGTACTTGGTATGGAACGTATTCTGGAGCTTTGCAGGAAGTACACTGCCAGTCAGGATTTTGTGTTACTGAATTGAGAAACTGCTTTCCTTTGTTTATACTTGACTGCGATTGTGCGTCGTTGAGTAGTTTCTGCTTTAGCTCTACACCTTCCGTGAAGCTAGTATTAGTTTCTCAAAAAATTTTTTTTCAACTCCAAATATTTGGCTAAGAATGTAGATTTTAATTACATTTTCTTAAGGAAGATGAACTCTGTAGTTCTAGCCTAGCCCATGTGCTACTCATTTTAAAAATCCCTTAAAACTGGGGCGCCTGGGTGGCTTAGTCGGTTAAGGGTCCGACTTTCGCTTAGGTCATGATCTCGCGGTTCGTGGGTTCGAGCCCCGCGTCGGGCTGTGTGCTGACTGCCAGCTCAGAGCCTGGAGCCTGTTTCAGTCTGTGACTCCCTCTCTCCCTGACCCTCCCCGTATCACGCTGTCTCTCTCTCTCCTAGAAATAAATAAAAATATAAAAAAAAAAAAATCCCTTAAAACATCCTTAGTGTCTCCACCGAGCTTCTCCTGACCCAGTTTTCTTTCCTCTTTTTCTTCGGCCTTTAAAGTTTTTAGGCCCTAGTTATACAGAAATTCCCCCCAGAGTCACGGGTTCCATTGCAGTTTAGAAAGCCAAATGCCAGACCAGAGTGAGTGCTGTTAAAACAAGGGACAAACATTCAGATTTAGAAGGTAAAGGAAGTTTTCTTACAGCAAGAGACCAGAATAAAGTCTGAAGAACAATTAGCAAACCTGCCACCACTCCACTTGTGACTGAAGCACATAATGACGTTTTCCTTTATGCTTAGGTTGACTGGAGAAGACGTATTTGGGATCACTGTGCCTCTAATTACAAGTACAACAGGAGCAAAATTGGGAAAGTCTGCTGGGAATGCTGTGTGGCTAAACAGAGATCAGACCTCTCCGTTTGAATTGTATCAATTCTTTGTCAGGCAGCAGGATGATGTGGTAGAAAGGTGAGTTCTTAATAGTGTGCTGATGACAATGAAGTATATACGCTCATGATATAATTTTAGCCATTGAATCTCTGTGTACCCTTTGTAGTTTTTCGTGTTTTGTTTTCACTTAGAGTCTACTTAAGACACAGGACATTGCAATTTTAACTGTTCTAAACAATTTTTTTGTTAAAGCAGAGAACCACTGTGATTGCCGGAAAAGTTAGTCAAATTTGTGATGTACCTCTAGTAAGTACTTAGGATGTTATCACTTGCATATTCTAGTTTTTCACTCTTTTTATGGTCAGCTTGACTAAACCTTACTTTACCTTTTATCTCTGAAGTTTCTTTTCTTTTCTTTAACATAATGTAATACACACTTGGAAAATCCTTTTTAAAAATGATTTTCTCATTCACATTAAACCCTTCAAAGAATATAAATTGATGGGAAAAATACACCTGCAACAAAGAAAAGGTGACTCTTAACCAAAAATCATTTTTCCAGAGTGGAAAATGTCTTATAATGAACTACAATAATTAAGACTTTTTTCCTTCAGGTTTGTTTCAAACATTTGATGATACAGTTTAGAGTTTTGATGTATTAGGAACCGACATCTTGGGGCGCCTCGTGGCTCAGTTGGTTAAGCGTCCGACTTCGGCTCAGGTCATGATCTCACGGCTCGTGGGCTCAAGCCCCGCGTCAGGCTCTGTGCTGACAGCCAGCTCAGAGCCTGGAGCCTGTTTCAGATTCTGTATCCTCCTCCCTCTCTTTCTGTCTCTCTCAGATATAAATAAACCATAAAAAAAAAAAAAAAAAACTGACATCTTTTTGAAAATTTCATTTTCTATTTGGCTTTAATGTATAAAAATTTTCTTGTATTAACTGTGTGCCCAGCGACTCTGCTAAACTCTTATTCTAATAGTAATCTTTGGATTTTAAAGCACAAGCTTAAATATAAGGTTAAGAAAAGAGACGAACGGGGGTGCCTGGGTGGCCCAGTTGGTTAAGCGGCTGACTTCGGCTCAGGTCATGATCTCATGGTCCGTGAGTTCGAGCTCCACATCAGGCTCTATGCTGACAGCAAGGATTAGAGCCTGCTTTGGATTCTGTGTCTTCCTCTCTCTGTCCCTCTCTTACTTGCGCTCTATCTCTTCTGTGTCTCTCAAAAATATGAGTAAACATTAAAAATATTAAAAAAGACAAATGGAGAGGATTAGAGAATCCAGCGTCTGTGGTCACTTCATCTCTGTGGCACTGCAGAATAGTCGGATAAGACAGTCTTTTCAATAAATATCACTTGGATCATTAGATGCCTTATTTGAGGAAAATGACGAAACTTAACCTCACACTGTATGCAAAAATCAGTTCCAGTAGATTATCAACCTAAGTCTGTAATGAAAGATCATGTGTTTAGAACATAAATAGGAAAGTATCTTAACTGGTATAAAGAAGGATTCTTACGTGAGCTACAAAGAAAAAATTGGTAATTTAGACTAAATTAAAATTGGGATATATAGTTCTTTAAAAGTCACCATTAAGAATAGAAAAATACCGATTACATGTTCTAGAAGTATGAAGAACTTTATACACAAATTCCATAAGCCAGTAAGAAAAAGACAACCCTATAGAAACATGAGAAGAGACTTGAACATGTACTTCAGCAAGATTTCTGTCCCAGAGACCAAAAACATGAAAAGGTTGTTCAGCCTTACTGAGAAAATGCAAGGTAAAGGCACAATTAAAACCCATTACATACCCTCAAAATGGCTAAACGTAGTACTGCCAATACCAAGTGTTGGTTAGAATATTCCATAGTGGTGGGAGAGTAACCTTACTGTGGTGTCAGCCTCAGCCTGCTGCTGGTGGTGCTCCTGGCTGGAAATGCTTGAGGCGCTCGCCGGGGCCGGTACGACTTGCGGTGAGCCCCCGCAGACCTTTCCCTGACCCAACTTGTGGCTGGACTGGCCTTGGCGGTTCTTAGGATTGCAGGACACACCGCAGCAACAACTGTCCAGGAAATTTGAAAACCAAGATTTATTACTCACAGGTCCTGAAGGGCCACACAGCAAAGTCATGGGTAGAGAGAGGGAGGGAGCGTGGAACTAAGCTCTGCTTTACTGGGGACAAAAGATACGGTGCCTAGGGTTTTGCGGGTTCACTCTTTATTGGGACATTTCAAATGAAAGCAAAAATTAGGGAAAGGAAAAGATAGGGTCACTCAAGCGGTGCGTTGTCTCAGTTTTCCAGGGCTTTCTAAAAGGAGAACTTTGTGAGTAAGGGTGGCCCGGTTCCTCATCTACTTGGTTTGCTACTAGCTGTATCATAGTATCTGACAGTATGCTTATTCAAGATGGATGTTTTTATTTAAAATGGATACTTTGGCAATTAAAAGCTAAGTGTCAGGCACTTAGAGGCGTCAGATTTTTTTTGCCTTTTTTTTTTTATTAATTGAAAAACAGTTGACCTACCATAGTATGTTAGCTTCAAGTGTGTAACATAGTGATCTGACATTTATATACATTACGAAATGCTCACCACAATAATTGTAGGTACCGGATGTCACTGTATAAAATTAGTATGCTATTGTTAACTGTATTCTTTGTGCTATACTTGGCATCCCTGTGACCTGTTTTATTACTGGACTTTTGTACATCTTAATCCCCTTCATCTGTTCGCCCATCTCCTCCCCTCTGGCAGTCACCAGTTCTCTGTATTTATAAGTCTGTTTCTGTTTTGTTTCTTAGTCACGTATAAGTGAAATCATGGCATTTGTCTTTCTCTGACTGACTTCGTTTAGCATAGTACTTTCAAGGTCCACCCATGTCCTGTACATCACAAGATTTCTTTCTTTTTATGGCTGAGTAATATTCCATTCTTTAACCATTCATCTATCTATGGATATTTAGGTTGCTTCCATATCTTGGTGATAGTGAATAATACTGCAGGGAAAATAGGCATGCACATCTTTTTGAATTAGTGTTCCCATTTTCTACGGATAAATACCCAGAAGTAGAATTGCTGGATGATATCAAATTTCTGTTTTTAATTTTTTGAAGACCTTTATACTGTTTTACATGTGAATATAACAATTTATATTCTCACTAATGGTGTATGAGGATTTGTTTTCCTCCACGCTTTTGCTAAAACTTATCTCCTGTCTTTTTGAGACTAGCCATGCTGACAAGTGTGAGGTGGTATCTCATTATGGTTTTGATTTGCATTTCACTGGTGATGAGTGATGTTGAGCATCTTTTCATGTGTTTATTTGCCATCTGTCTTCTTTGGAAAAAGGTCTGTTCAGGTCCTCTGCCTATTTTTTTATCAGATGGTTTATATTTTTGGTGTTGAGTTGTAGAAATTCTTTATGGATTTTGGATATTAACCCCTTATTGGATATATTATTTGCAAATATCTTCTTCTGGTCAGTAGGTTACCCTTTTGTTTTGTTGATCGTTTCTTTCATTGCACAAAAGCTTTTTAGCTTGGTGTATTCCCAATGGTTTATTTTTGCTATTGTTGGTCTTGCTGAGGAGAAAATTATTGGTAAGGCGGATATCCCAAGAGTTTACTGCCTGTGTTTCCTTCTAGGGGTTTTATGGTTCAGGTCTTACAGTTTGGTCTTCAATCCATTTTGAGTTTATTTTTGTGTGTGGTATAAGAAAGTGGTTAAGTTTTATTCTTTGGCACAAAGCTGTGCAGTTTTTCCAGCACCATTTATTAAAGAAGCTGTCTTTTCCTCATTGCATATTCTTGCCTCCTTTGTCATAGATTAATTAAACATAAAGGCATACGTTTATTTCTGGCTTACTATTCTGTTCATAGGTCCATTACTGCTGTCACAAATGGCAAGATATCATTCTTTTTTATTGGTAAAGTAATATTCCCATTGTATATATTACCACTTCTCATCCATTCATCTATTGATAGACCCTTGGGTCGCTTCCATATCCTCGCTGGAATAAACATAGGGATGCATATTTTTTGAAAATTTTCAAAAATATTTAGTGTTTTTATTTACTTTTAGTAAATACTTATTGGATTTACAGGATCCTACAGTATATCAGTTCTTAATTTTTTGAGGAACCTCCATACTGTCTTATATAGTGGCTGCATCAATTTACATTCCCATCAACAGTGCAAGAGGGTTCCTTTTTCTCCACATCTTTGTCAGCATTTGTTATTTCTTATCTTTTTGATACTAGCCATTCTGACAGGTACAAGGTGATACCTCATTGTAGTCTTGATTTCCATTTCCCTTATAATTAGTGATGTTGAACATCTTGTTATGTGTGGACCATCTGTATGTCTTCTTTGGGAAAATGTCAGGTCCTCTGCTAATTTTTAAGTGGATTATTGTTACTCGTGTTGACTTGTATGAGTTCTTGGATTTTGTTGATTTATCATTTGCAACTATCTTCTCCCAGTCAATAGGTCATTTTGTTGATGGTTTCCTTTGCTGTGTGAAAGCTTTTTATTTTGGTGTAATATCAATAGTTTATTTTTACTTTGTTTCCCTTGTCTGAGGAGACCCATCTAACAAAACGTCTCATGTCTAGAAAATGTCTAATGTCTAGGAAAAAAAATGCTAAGGCCCATGTCAGATTACTGCCTATGCTTTCTTCTAGGACTTTTTGTAGTTTCAGGTCTTAAATTTAGGTCTGTAATCCGTTTTGAGTTTATTTTATGTATGCTGTAAGAAGGTGGGGGTCCATTTGCATGCTTTTGCATGTAACTGTCCAGTTTTCCTAGCACCGTTTGTTGGAGAGACTTTCTTTTCTCCATTGGATTTTCTTGGCTCCTTTATCATAGGTTCACTGACCATATAAGTGTGAGTTGATTTTTAGGCTTTCTAGTCTGTTCTCTTGATCTTTGTGCCTATTTTTGTGCCAGTATCATTCTGTTTGATTACTCTGGCTTTGTAACGTATTTTGAAACCTGGAAATGTGATACCCCCCAGCGTTGTTGTTCTTTCTCCTAAAATCTTTGGTGATTCTGGGTCTTTTGTGGTTCCATACAAATT